TCATACTTGATTAATTCACTTTATCTTTTCTTCCAATCTTATAACTCTATCACCTTTACTCTTACAGCTAGTTAATAACAACTGTTCATTCTAGGGCAAAAACCCTAATCAATTAATCATATATTTATTTGGCATATATTTGTTTTTCAATCAGAATTATCTCAACCACAGTTTACTTAACTTTTCAAATCCACCTTTATTCTCGTGCACCATGAAATTTCTTTGTTCACTCTCAACATTTCAACGTCTTCCATCTTATAAAATAATCATCGACGTACTTATTTCTTGAACTTTTCCCGAAACAATATTCACATCAATGAATCTTCCATTATTCTCATTATAACATTTGTTTACCATATTTTAGTTCAACCGTATAGCGACTACATTATTCCATCTAACTTTTCCACTTTAGGATAGTGGAGATCCTCTAATATTATTCGGTTGTATATTAAATATTTTTTTGAACACAATGCTCAACTTTTTAATCTAGGGTACAACCCTTATCAACTTGATCATATAAATTCTTTTCCATCAAAATTTCCCTCGTCGATATCTTATTCAACTTTTCAAACTCGGACTCTTATTCACACATAATATTATTCCTCCATTTCAAAATCCAACGTTATAACTTCCTTTATCTTATAAATTGTTCACCGATATACTCATTCTCATATTTTTCTATTACTCTTTATATTCTCTTGAACATTAAAATCCTTATCTCCTTCACTACATCACATTACATAATTAAAGTATACATTGTATTCGAATCCACTTCATATTTGGTTATCATAACTTAACAATCTCTTATACTTCCCATACATTTCCATCACATAATTTTGTTAGCCATTGCTAACTTTTTCCATTTATAATACAAATCCCTTATCATATCCCCACTCTTGCTTATACCCAATACTATTTACATGTCTACTATTCCTTTTTATATATCACTTCTTCAATAAATCTTTCGTGCTATCATAAACTTCACTTCATTACTTTAATTCTTTCATTACCTTTTCTATTATGCTTTTACATTCCTTTCATATCATTTATACTTTTCCTTCTTTATTCCTTTTTAACTTTCTATCAATCTTTATTTCCGTCAAACATACAAATCATTTATCTTTAATACATTCTCTATCAAATTACTTTATTATTCAACTTATTTCTTTCAATAGAAATATAAACCTTTATCAAACTATCCATATATATATTCTTTCCAATCAAAATAATCCATTCGATATTTCCATCACTTATCAAACCTTCATTCTCATTCGTCCATAATACAATTCATTTGGTTCGAATTCAACCATTTCCTTTACCTTTGTCTTATACATAACTAATCCATATCATATCTTCATGCTCCCATGTTTTTTTTATATCACATATATTTATCCTTAACTATCACCCCTTATCACATTTTCATGACTTTGATAGCCAACTTTACTTGCACAAAACCTTATTCTTTATCATTCTTATTCTTATGTTTTCTCCACTTGTTTCAAAAATCACCATATTTCAATATTCATCTAATCCATTTAAAATACTTTTTCTGCTTCGATTTACATAACCTCTGATAGAGCTTTTAACCCAATTCACAAGGGTTGTCTTTAACCCTGACTTATCATCAATTAACTCTTTGTTTAATCTTTCAAGATCAAACCTACTACTGGAGTTTGTCGAACTCTCATCTGATTTGATTCTCTAATGGAGAATACAACTAATTCATGTCTGGTTTAAAGTTGAAAACCATAATCTTTACCTTTCTTTGATGGTGCTTAATTCTATGAAGCACTAATTCTCTTAATCATCTGAGTTTTAACACAATCAACAATTTCTTTAAATGAGAACAATTTCAAAACCAGTAAAACTCTTTTAATTTAAGGCACAAGCCTTAAACAATTAATCATATGTATCCCTCTTAATCAGAATCAACTCAACAATAAATCTGTTTAACTTATTAAACTTATACTCATACACAATGCAATTTTCCTGGGTTCAAACTCAGGCATTATAATTTCCCTTTAGGGGGGAATCGATTCCCTCATGACATTCTGGAAATTTTTGTTCGTTTGAAGGGGTATCGGTTCCCTACTTGAATGGGTACCGATTCCCCTAGCCCATAAATCATATTTTTAGCTCGAAAATCACTTCATTTTCAGCTAAACACTTCATACTCCTCCCCCATTAATATTCCTAACTTTCATACACATACTTAAACTCATTTCTACTCCATAATCACTTCTTTAAACTCAAAATTCTATCATTTACATGGCATTCAAGAATCACACTAAATTTCCAACATGTTCTACAAACAATAATCACATCACTTGATCTTTTAACATTCTTATGGTGACATTTTTATACCATAATCTAGCTTACCCACTTAGTAACGAAACTATTCAATTTAACTTCTTCACTTTGGAGAAATGAACACTTTCTCACATTATCTTCCTATCATTTAATCAAATGTCTATAACAATAGAACATTTCTCGAATTCACCCTTGAACTCGAGTGTTCTCAACTCTTTTCAATACATTCCTTCTATGCAATATATAAGTATAAAATTAAAAACACATCATAATATCATTCAACATCATGAAACATTCTCTAATCTTGTACAGGCACTCCCTGAGGTTTTTCGCTCTTCTCCCTGCCTGGCCAGGGCAGGTGAATGCTATTACCTTCAGTCTATTGCCTTGTGCTTCACTTTAGAAGCTCTCATTATCATACATATAATATAACATAGCATTTTAATTCTATTAGAAATACAGTACACTCCTTACCCTATCAGATTAGAAAAATTTTCACTTTGTGTTGGCATGTATACTTTTTAAAACACTTTTAACTTCGTTTTTAGCCTAGAATCGGCTAAACCGTAGCTCTGATACCATTAAATGTAACACCTCAACCCGTACCCGACCCAGATACGAGTCGGAGATGTCACATTACCTTTTTAAAACCTTTATTCTTGCAAAATATCAAAACATTTGAACTTATATTAAGAAAAAAATACGATCATATATTGTTCAATTGTGTTTGGTATAAAATTTTGAGACAAAAATGTATTTATGAATAGTAAAATACGGTATGAACAGTACCTACTATAGTACTTTCGGCAAAATACTTATAAATTCGTATAACATCTCTATTTACATATAAACTTTACAAAACTTAATCATATGATTTTACAAAACCGATTAAAACATATCGGATTTAAACCTTTATTTACATGCCAACCACTATCATTGTTACAAAATACATTTTATACATTTATTTTCTGATCTGATCTTTGGAAAGGAGAAACTGACCTGTCTTGCATAACTTTTACCAATCTTCCTCTTCTCGAAACCTACGCGTGAAACAATCACACGCTAAGTCGTTGACTTAGTGAGGCATACAAAACATAAACTATAACCATCTATCATTTCATATAAACAAAAGGTATACATATGCCAATATTATCATATCATATAAAAACATATATCATTAACATGCTTTTCAATACTCATATTATTGTTACTAATTCCTTGTGATCATATAAGCATGTGTTGAACATTTCTATACATATCTTAGAACACATAACATCCTATAATCCATGCAATACCGTTCATATCACCACAAGCATATGCATCTTATATATTGTATTTGTTATTGTCTCTTTATTAGCCCATGGTACACTGGTGAGAACTGAAGGTATGTGAGTACACTGAGGTTGTGCACAAATGTTGTCACCACAGCTCATATAAATTGCACCGAAGTGCCACGTAGAATTTGTCCCGAAGGACCGTGTAGAAATGCACCGAAGTGCCACGTAGAATTACACCGTAGTGCCATATAAGATTGTCCATAAGGACCACATATAAATTCCTTAAGAATCATATACATATACCAAGGATCAAGTAAGTGTCTCAAAAGACCTCATACATGCTCCAAAGAATACATATACGTCCCGAAGGACCACGTAGAATTTGTCCCGAAGGACCGCGTAGACCCTCTACTCTTGGCATGCCAACTATACATATAGCTCTCGTATCATATAAAATGGGCATTATTCTTATGCTTCATATATTCATGTACTCATATCATTACTCTTATGATCAATATCACATGTGCATATAATCACGTAGTTTACTTTCATGTCACTTTTCATATGAATTTATATTCATATGTCACATAGCTCGTATCACTTTGCATGGATTCACATAAACATATATATCATTTGATTCATGTCTTATTCTTATATCATCATATATACTTCATCTATGTTTCATCACCTAACCTCATATCATATAACATGATTTATTTTCTTATGTTCACATGACATATAATGCATACAAATTATATTTACATATGCCTTTACTCACAAATTCATATATCATACAAATCATGTCATCTCTTGTTCTCATATGCTTCACATGCATCACGTATATCATATAGCACATATCAGTTCATATAATCAAGTATATATTTCATGTCATTCACATCCTTATAATCAATACTCCATACACTATAACTATTGGAAATAGACTTATCACAAGTCCAATTTCTTATAATCTTATAAACTAAAATGCACTCATAAAAATCATATAACATTTTAGGAGTCACTTCTTACCATAGTAACTCCGTCATTGGCTCATCGCAAGCCAATATTTTCCGATCGCATAAGTACAATTAAATTGCACTCACCTTAGCCTTGCTTTGATTCGATCCTAATCCTTTGATTATTCCGGAACTTGTTTAGGCTCAATATCAACATAAATATATCATTTCAAAACAACTATCAGAAGCCTAAACTTTAAACTTGATGTTAATAACTTAAACCGATTTAATGAATCAAATTCCATTTTTCATTTAGGGGGAATCTGTTCCCCCTGCACAATCTGGAAATTTCGTTTAAACCCAGAAAATCATTGTTCATGGCCGAAAATTCACTATAACAACTTAAATTCTTCATGTTTCATTCACTTTTCTATCATAACTCAAATATACATACTTAAACTAATTTATATCTATTTATTTCATCTTAAACCTCAAAATTCTATTCTCCATATAAAAATCAATAATCATACCAAATTTTTCATGTTATCCAAACTTAGTTCTAACACTTCTAACTTCTTATTCTCATAGATGACAAGTCAAATTCAACTTAAAATTCAACTTATCAATTCTATTCCAAGATTTCATTCAAGAACTCAAAATCTTTAATCTCTCCTATACCTTTCATCTTATTGTTTTAGAATAAATTAAGCTTTCCTTAAGCTTAATTATCATCTAGTGATCAAAACCCAACCATTAATTCAACAAATAATCAACAAAAATAGAAACTCACCTTTGCCTAGTCTTCCACGGTTGGAGAAGAAGAAAGGAGGAAGAAGATGAAATGTTTTCATCTTCACACGTTTTTTATCTCTTATTAAAGGGATAAAAATATCTTTCATGACAAATGACCATTTTGCCCTTTAATTCTTTGGATAATTACTATAAACTTTCAAGAAATATCCCCAAATAAATCATTGAACTATTCAACTATTTTACTTTAATCACCAAATTCTAAAAATTTACGATTTGGTCACTAACCCGTAATTTGGGATGTTACATGTTGTGTCATCTTGTCATATGAAAATGTCATTTCCTCGCTTGTATTTTTATATAATACATTTTCTTCTACATCATTCATGTCTTCATATCAATGGAAAATCTAAATATTCTACTCTTAATAATCTTAAAAATTAAATTAACCTTTTACTTATTTGAGCTTATATATATATATATATATATATATATATATATATATTTTATATAATCACTGATATCCTACCTATTGACCGATTTATAGTAGATTTAAATTATAGTTTGATTGCCACATTTTTTTCTAGTTGTCTCTCTGGAGATGGAGTGTCATTCATGTTCAAAAATTTCGCGACCATTTTCTCTTGACATAGATTTAGATAACCTCAGTCATCAAAATCCTTGGTAACCGAGCAATGAGCACTGTCTTCCTTGTCCATAACATCGCCAATCGTTCCAAGTTTGCACTTGAAGTGATCCAAAGGATTTTTTTCCGATAGGGCAAATAGTTTTATTAATTAGTACAATAAGGCATATTGAAGTTTATTTTGATATCTATTCGTTAATAAAAAATATTTTTTTATTCAAATTTTTTACCCTAATATGATAAAATTTAATTAAAAAAATATATTTTATTAGAAATCGTCACTTCGACGTGATGAGTTTGAATAAAAAAAATTATTTGGACAAACTCGTCACCTAGATGTGACATATTCTTTGAACACTGTAACAAATGCCATAAATCTCAAAATAAACTTCTATAATTAGGAATGACAAATGGGTGGGGCAGTTGCGGATACCCCTCCCCCATCCCTATACCCACCTAATATTTTCATATCCACCACCTACTCACTACCCACGATGGGTAAAATTTTTAAATCAACACCTGCCCACGAAAATACATTCCCAAATCCACCCCCACCCTAGCCACCCAACTGGATACCCACCACCAATTTCATATCCATCTATACCTGCCCGTACCCGTCCATACCCGTCAATTTGAGATAGGAGAAAAAACGACGTTCAATTCTAAAAATGTTTATACCTTAACATTAGGTTAAATTACAAGTCATGTTCAATAAAATCTTAAGATTTACATAATAGTCTCTAAAATTATACCTAAATTCATAATTATTCAAAATTTATATGGTGAGTAGTTAGTGGTCGGGCGGATGTGGGGCAGGTGGATACGTGGGGTGGGTCGAGTGGATGCGGGGGGCGGGTGGATACGGGGGACGGGCGGATGCGAGGCGAGTAAGGTCTCAAACCCATCATCTACTCACTACCCACGACGAGTATGACTTTTTAAATCCATACATGCCCACTACCTACTAAACTTATACCCATCCCCACCTCAATTGGAGTAGGTACGGTGCGAGACCAACGAAATTATACTCATTTGCCATCTTTATTCTATATGTTTTATTGGGCTAATTAATAAAATTATTTGCCCTATTAGGCCAAAACGTCAAACCATGACGGACACCGTTGGGCTCACCATTAAATTGGGTTCTTAACAAGGCTTCAACACCCATATCTGCCTCGTCTTTTGGGTTTGAGTTCATCGCTTGGGATGTCGCTTGATAGTTAACCGAAAATTAACAATTAGGTATGTGGCCTTGCAATAACATTTCAATTCCCAATTTTTAGAGGATATTGATAATCTCTATAGCACGTGGATAAGAAGAAAGAACCAATTTGGTGTCCCCCATGGTGTATTTCTTCTATAACCCCATGGACAAGAAGCAATAGAAATCAATATTAAACATATGCAGTAAAAGAAAATTTTAAATTTATGAATAGAACCTGAAATTCCTTCTTATGTTATGTCAAAATAAATAGACATCAAATTGCAATTTTCTGTGTAGTACAGGGATTATTATGACACTTTTACCCTGACAAGTCCTAACAAATTTTAATATGTCAATAAAATGAAAAAAAGGGAAAATGTCGTAACGAAAATGCAATAACATTAAAGTTAAGGGGGTTTATTCGGAAAAAAAATCTTAAGAAAAAATTAGGAGGGGCAAATGAAAAGGAAAGACACAGACAACGCCACACTCTGGATACAGAGCTCCTCTTTCTCAAAGCTTAATATTTTGGCGGCAAAAATGGGAGAAGAGGAGCTAGAAGAAGAGAATCTGCAACCAAACTCCCAAATCGAACCGAAGGATACCTCAGAATATCCGAAGCTACAAGACTATGAATGGCCCAAGATTAGATTCGATATTCCTCCCAACAGAACTTACCACTTTCATAAGCAGTTCAGAACAGGTCCCAACCCTAACAATTTTCTCAAAGGCGTCAAATGGTATTTTCATTGCCCCCTTTAACCCCTACTTGTATTTTCCCCCTTTTAATTTAGAGTTTTACGGGTTTGGTCTTTGCAGGTCTCCTGATGGCTCTTGTTTTCTCACCAGTTCTGAGGATAATACTCTTCGCCTTTTCTCCTTGTAATTACTTCTATTACTTCGTGTGTGTGTGTTGCTCATTTTCTATGATTTATTTCTTGTGGATTTTCATTATTTTGTGCCTTCAAAAATTGTTATTAGGCCGGATTATGGAAGCAGTGACCAAACTACTGCTTATTCTTCAGTCTCTGAAGAAGGTAATTTCTTATGTACTAGGTACACCATGTTTTGTTGGAGAAACCAGTGGGACTCTTTTGAGATTTAGTTTAACTTTGTGGTTTGCTTGTTTACTTTTAGATTCCTACGCTGCGCAACTTGTTGTGAGTGAAGGGGAATCTGTGTATGATTTCTGTTGGTATCCATACATGTCATCTTCAGGTGTTTCTTTTTCTTTACATTTTCTTCAATAATGATGTTAGGTTTTACTTTGATTTGTGGTTAAACTTTAGTCCTTTGTGCCTGCAATGTTGTTCGGTGTAGACCCTGTTTCCTGTGTGTTTGCTACCAGCACTCGTGACCATCCAATTCATCTCTGGGATGCTACTTCTGGCCTGGTAATCATTCATTTTGGTCCCATTTTCTTTTAGAATGGGATAAATGATCTTTCATTATGGACTTTAATAGAACTTGAGGATTACAGTTACACTGTATGTGCAATAAGCAGACAGGGTTTGTTAACCATTTGCATTTACTAAATTTGGTGATGAACAGTTGCGTTGTACATACCGAGCTTATGATGCCGTGGATGAAATCACTGCTGCATTTTCAGTTTCGTTTAATCCTGCAGGGACTAAGTAAGCATCATAATTTACTGCATGTCCTTTTGTTGAATCGTGTATTTATGTTTTGAGCTTGAAAATATTCTCTTGAGATATTTAAAAAATATCAATTTGAAACCTAAATTGCGTCATGTATAATTTGAAACCTATATTACGGCATGTAGCATTTCATTTCCTTTGGGGAATGCTCCGCTTATATTTTCAAAGAACTTCTATTGTAACATAGGCACTATTACTGGCTTCCACTGACATTGCTTTATTTCTTCTTTATTCTGGCAGGCTATTCGCTGGGTACAACAAGTCTATTAGAGTGTTTGATGTACACCGCCCTGGCCGTGATTTTGCACAATATTCAACACTACAAGGAAACAAAGAAGGTCAAACAGGTAATTTTTATACTGAGCTAGTTAATGATCCTACTGAAGGTAAAGCATATTTGTGATGATCTTAGTATTTGATTACAGGTATCATATCATCAATTGCTTTTTGTCCTACTCACACTGGAATGCTAGCAACAGGATCTTACAGCCAGACTACTGCAATATATAGGGAAGATAATATGGAGCTCTTATATGTTTTACATGGACAAGGAGGTGGTGTAACACATGTAAGTGAGCATTTATTCTCATTCACTTCATCACTTGATTTTATTTATTTTATCAGCAAGGCAAGGCAAAGTGTTTTTCTTTTTCACCTTTATATCAGGTGCAATTTTCAAAAGATGGGAATTATCTATATACTGGAGCTCGGAAGGTAACATTCTCTTCACATTCCTCTTTCCATAAATAACCAACTTAACAAAAGACAGATTGTGCTTTCCCTTTTCTGTTTCCTAACGATACAATCATTGTTGTATGTCAACATCAATGTTGACTCACCAGATGCCAAAAATGTTTGTGCCAACTAGAGTTTATCCCTTTATTATGAACTTAGTTAAAGGATCTAAAATTCCTTTTGTTTTACTTTACTTTTTATAATAATAACTTAATAATGCTAACTTGTGGATTAATTAAGCAGTTTTCACGTTTTGATCAAATCCATAGAATGGTTGTTGTATTTCAAATCAATCTATATGTCTAAACAATCACACTTGTAAGCAGAGTCCTTTCCTTGACCGATTTCACAAATGTTGCCCAGATAGTATTATAATTGGTTATGATATATGCCAATTGGTGAGTACATGGCAATGGCATCACCTTTGTCTGTATTTTACAAATTACTCTTCATTTCTGTATTCCATTCTGATTTTCCATTTTTTAGGAAATTTACTTTCTTCCTTTGCATATCCGTGTAACATTGACAGTGTCCATTATCAAATTCATTCTTTAGGACCCTTATATCATGTGCTGGGACATAAGGAAAGCTGTTGAAGTTGTCTACAAGTAAGTAATTTGATTTTATGGATGGTGCTGGATATTTTTCCATTTATGTTTTGAAAAAGAAAAGTATAAATGTTCAAGCAATGGAAGTAAAAGATATTTGTTGGAGCTTGTACGTTGCTTCAAAAAACTACAATAAGAAGTGGATATACCTACTTTCTTATTTGGTTTGTAATTTTCTTGACTGGAAGTTTTAATTTACCATGCCCACTGATAGTGACAAAATTAAAGTGTCTTATTTACACCTTGTTTGTAGGTTTTACAGATCATCTGAATCTACCAACCAACGAATAGCCTTTGATATTGATTGCTCAGGTCAGCATCTTAGTACAGGTGGCCAGGTAAAATTTTGTTTTTTATCCATCACTTTTGATCTAATGTTAACGCATGATTTATATTGTGCTGATTTCTCTGAATTATTTCCAGGATGGTCTTGTTCATATTTATGATTTACAAACCGGGCAATGGGTATCAGGATTTCAGGCTGCAGCTGGTTTGACATTCTATATTTCTTTCAGAAGAAAGTGATTCATTTTTGCTTATCTTGGCAATTATCTGTTCCTCACTAGGTTTTATATAATCTACAGATACCGTCAATAGTTTCTCTTTCCATCCTTTCCTGCCAATGGCTGTCTCTTCATCGGGCCACCGAAGATTTCAAAATCCTGAGGATGAGGATTTGCAGTTGAGAGGTACTTCCAGTTACGTCAATAACTACTCCTTTCCAATTCACTCTCTTACTGACTTCGAATTATGGTTTTTATTGTTACTTGTTTCATTTCACTAATACCTGTGCATTGCGGCAATGAGTATATAAAGTGTTGTTTTTCATAAATGCAAACAATATCTATCAATGATTCCTCCTTGTGTTTGCATGTAGGTAACGAGAATTGTGCTTCTGTGTGGAGTTTCTCGTACGATGTTACTTCTGGACAACAATCTTGAATGTGGGTCATATCCACAGTCCACGGGAACATCAGAAAACAATCCTCATTCTGTAAAAAATTCCTTTCTTAGGTGTCATTTTCGTAATTATAGTACTTTTTTTTCACATTCCTGAGAATGATAAAGGCCCGTTTGACGTGGCATTCTAAAAATACTTTTAGATAAAAAAAAACATATTTCGACCTTAAAATCAATGTCAAATATATAAAAAAATGAAGAAAAAAAACTGTGGTAAAAATGGTGGTTTCAAACCCACCGCAAAAAGTAAGATTTCTAGTTTTTTCAGTTTCAATTTTGCGTTTAGTACCAAATTATATTTCTATCCTTATTAATGAATGAGTTTCACTCAATAATATATTTACATTTTATTTTAATAATTTAATATTAACATCCTTAAAAATAATTTATTACATAATAATTTATTTTAATTACTATTATTTTGTAATATATTTTTTGTCAAAAAAAGTATTTAAATTATTATTTCATAATAATTTTATGTCCACGTGTTAAAAAGTATTGATAATATATTTTTTCTTAAAAAATATTTAATATATAAAAATATTATTAATGAGTTATCTTAAAATATTTTTTTTTATATTTTTATTATAGTTTAAGACTTAAAGTTGATATATTTTATATATCATGGTATTAATAAGTGTAAATATAATTTAAATGTTATATTTTTAATTTACAATATAATATCTATATAGATGTTTTATCTTTTCAAATTTATTTTTAACAACAATTAAATTTTAAGTTGCACTCTTATACAACATTTTTCAAAATTCGTTCCCACAACACTTTTTAAAAGCTGCGTAAAACTGGTCCAGAATCGATTAAGCAAAATTTTTCTCTTCACCCCAAAACTTTATGCTCATGTTTATAACATTTATGTGACGAAATGTAGTGTTTAGTTCAAGAGATATGCCATTGACAACAGACTTTCATTAGTTTACCTTTTTGTAATTTTGAAAATCTAGAAAAGAATATTGGGTCAAATATGATTTTGAAGGCAGAGAAGAATCATAAATTTCCAGGGTGGGTTGCTAATCTTACCTTATATCATGTTACCATATATTAATCATTCTTGAAATCTATTGAACCTCAAATTAATAATATTTGCAACTAATTTTCATTTCCCATAAATATCAAGTCCGTCTCACGGAACAATTCAAAGAAACCTTCTAAAACGACGGAAATTTTAGTTTGACTCTCTCTCTCTCTCTCTCAAACGCATAAATTGTAGAAATGGAATGAGAAATCTAAGGTGAGATAATGTCTGAACATTGAGACTAAATTCTTCTTTCTGTAAAGTATTAGACGGTGCCATATTCACACATAGTTTTTAGATTTTCTGGTTTCAGTGGCTAGAAAATAAGATCCTA